GCCCGGGGGGGGCAGGATACACGTGGTTGCAGGACAGGCGGTAGGTGTTCTCGATGATCCCCTCCTCGTTGACCCCCACGAAGATCTGCTGCCCGCAGACGGCGCAGACGCTGTCGCTGAGGTGCTTGGTGGGCATCCCCGAGGAGCTGTAGAACTGGGCTGCAGGGGTGACACTGAGGAGGGGGACACAGCCCACCCCCCTCACCCCTCAGCCCTCAGGGGGGGCAGTGCACCAGGGGTTTGGCCTCAGCCTCTTTTTTAGGGGGGTTAACAACCCCTTTTTGTGGGAAAAGACTCCAGGACAGGGAGGTGTTTGGTGGCCCCTGGTGGTGCAGCCCCACAGACCCCTCCCCACACCAGGGACACCCCCTGCCCCGGGGAGTTGTCAGCTGCCTGCTGGGGGCAGAGGGTGGGGAGGAGGGAGGGACAAGTTGGAGGTCACAGCTTTGACCCAGGGTGACAACCTGGTGGCAACAGCCTGAGACCTGTGCCAGGCTGGGAGAAGCAGGGAATGGTCTGGAGTGAGGGGGGACCCATCAGGCTGGAACCCACCCCTGCTCCTCACAGGTCCCTCCAGCTCAACTGCACAACCAAGAGTGTCATCCAGATGCTCCTTGAGCTCCACCAGCCTTGGTGGCCACTTCCCTGGGGAGCCCATCCCAGTGACCAACCACCCTTTAGTGGGTGAAGAACCTTCTCCTGGTGTCCAACTCCCACCTCCCTCTCCACAGAGCTGCCCTCCAGCCTCTCCCCTCCCCAGCTTCTACCTATGACCAGGGTTACCCCATCCCAGGTGGAGAATCCAGGTCTTCCCCACATTACATGTACCAGGTTGGCCATTGCCCAACTCTTGAGCCCACCCACATCCCTCTGCAGACCCTCTCTCTACTCTCCAGGGTCCACAGCTCCTCCAAGTTCACCCCCAAGCTCTGCCAAGGTGTCTCAGGGCTCCAAAAAGCTCAGAGAGGAGGAGGACACACCAAGTCCAAGACCCTGAAGAGCTGCTGTGAAGAAGCCACAGTGACTGACTCCACTGGTGTCACCTATTTTTTGGGTGGAGTGGGGGTGGCTTTTTTTGGTACCAGGGCAAGTGGGCTCCAGATCTGTGGCCACCTCTGCAGGAATGGGAACCCTGTCCCCAGGGCCAGCTGGAAGCTGGTGGTGTGGATCCATCCCTGCTCCCAGAATTGGGCACTGGAGATTTGTAAAGGTTCAGGGAGGGGAATGTTAGGAGTTTAGAGGAGCTGAGCAGATTGACCTCAAGAACAGTTTGGTTGGGAAGGACCTTAAAGACCACCTAGTTCCAACCCCCCCACATGGGCAGGGACACCTCCCAGCAGCCCAGGCTGCTCCAAGCCCCATCCAACCTGCCCTTCAACACCCCTAGGGATGGGGCAGCCACAGCTTCCCTGGGCAACTTGGGCCAGGCTCTCCCCACCCTCACAGACCCTTCCAATCCCACCCCTCTGGGGAGGGAGGTGACACCCCCGGGGGCTCAGCTCTTCAGGCAGGACCTGCAGAAACTCCCTCAGAAACCCCCCCCAGCCCTGAGGTGCTGGTGGGGGGAGCTCAGCCCCCTTGGGACGCACGTTCCCGTGGTGGGGGGGGACACCCCCAGGCTGCTGCTGCCCCCCGGGGGTCCCGGGCCCGGCTGGGGGGGCTGCCTCACCCCGATGGTGGAGGCCATGTAGTCGGCGCACATCTCGGCGAAGTCCCGCTCCAGGACCCCGTAGTACAGCCCGTAGAACAGCAGGGAGATGCCGAAGTCCATGGCGTCCTCGGGCTTGATCCTAGGACAGGAGAGCCCGAGGGATGGGGAGGAGGCTTGGAGCAACCTGGGCTGCTGGGAGGTGTCCCTGCCCGTGGCACTGAGTGGGCAATAAAGGTCCCTTCCCAACCAAACCGGTGCGGGATCCTGCGGCAGAAGCTTTCCTGGCGGGAGGGCTGAGCCCCCAGCACCCACCCCAGCGTACAAGGCCCACCAGGAACCAACACCTGGAGGGTCTTCTTGGTGCCTTCCAGCCCAACCCTGGTCCCTGCTTCAGGGAGACCTCACCTCAGTGTTTGGAGGAAGCCGTGGGGAGACCAGCCCCCCCATCTCACACCCACCAGCCTCACCAGCCTCTGAACCAGCAACTTCTCTGCCACCTCCGCCTGCACCACAGCACCCCAGGAGGGACTGACCCCCCTCTGCTGCCAGCCCAGCATTCCAGAGAAGGCATCCCAGAATCCCAGACTGCTTTGGGTGGGAAGGGACCTCAGAGCCCACCCAGTCCCACCCCTGCATGGGCAGGGACACCTCCCAGCAGCCCAGGCTGCTCCAAGCCCCATCCAACCTGCCCTTCAACACCCCCAGGGATGGCGCAGCCACAGCTTCCCTGGGCAACCTGGGCCAGGCTCTCCCCACCCTCACAGCCCAGAATTTCTCCCTCCCATCTCAGCTCCAGCTCCCTCTGCCAGCTGGAAACCCTTCCCCCTGCTCCCATCCCTCCCTGCCCTTGTCCCAAGCCCCTGCCCAGCTTTCCTGGAGCCCCTTCAGGCACTGGAAGCTGCTCTCAGCTCTCCCTGGAGCCTTCTCTTCTCCAGGCTGAACACCCCAACTCTCCCAGCCTGGCTCCAGAGCTGCTCCAGCCCTCCCAGCATCTCCGGGGCCTCCTCTGGCCTCTCTCCAACAGCTCCGTGTCCTCCCTGTGCTGGGGACCCCAGAGCTGTTCCCAGCCCTGCAGGGGGGTCTCAGCAGAGCAGAGCAGAGGGGACAATCCCCTCCCTGGCCCTGCTGGTCCCGCTGCTGGTGACACAGCCCAGGACACGGGTGGCTTTGATGGGTCACCTTGAGCTCCTCCTCACTCAACACGACCTCTCTCAAGAGGAGGGTGGTTTGGGCTGAACCAGTTCAGGTAACATCACCTCACCCGTGAGGGACAAGACACCTCAGGAGTCTTTTTGACTCCATTAACCTGCCTTTCCAGGTTTGTAGCCAACACTTCCCTCCACAGGGAACGTCCCAACCCAAGGACTCACTGACCTGAACAACAAGTTGAGCCCGAAGAGCGTGAACATCACGGCCACGTAGCCCACGATCCCGGTGGCGTAACTGATCTTGTAGATCAGGAGAAACCATTTATAAACCAGCCTGGGAAGGAGATGTTGACATTTCACGAGGATTTAATGACTTCATTCCTCCTGAAAAGAGCTGGTCCTGTCCCACCTGGGTGGTGTTGGCAGCCACCTCACCTACCGATGGGCAGCACAGCCTGGAATCCCCAGCTGAAGCTCCAGACTGGCCATGGGCTTGGCTTCCAAACTGGGAACTCTGGGATATCCAAGGGCTCCAAAGAAGAGCTGGGAATGTCCCCAGGGCCTGGACCTCCCACCCAGCAGGGGCTGTGCACCCTGGGGAGAAGCTTCAGGCTGCAGAAGCACAAGGTGGGATGGATCCTCTGGTGACCCAGGAGCTGGGAATGGGTCCCCTGGGGAACCAGGAGCTGGGAATGGATTCCCTGAGGGTCCAGGAGCTGGGAATGGATCACCTGGGGAGCCATGAGCTGGGAATGGATCCCCTGGGGGGCTCAAGAGCTCTTTTGGGAGTGGATCCCGTGGGATTCAGGAGCTGGGAATGGATCCCCTGGGGGCTCAGGAGCTGGGAATGAATCCCCTGGGGGCCCAGGAGGCTCCCCAGAACACATGTACCCACCTGGGTGTTGTCTGGACCAGAGGTTTCCTTGTTGCCCTGAAGGTGACAAAGGCTGTGACGGCCGAGAAGAACACCCAGATCACCAGGAACCGCCACCAGTTGAGCTTGATGGTGAAGTAGAGGGGCACCACCCACATCTGGAAGAGGGTCACCATCTGCAGGGACAGGGGAAAGGCCCTCGGAGCTGGTTCTCTGCTCAGCAGCAGCAGGAGCACCCAGCATGTCCCTGGAGCAGCACCTGGAGAACAGGCCCAGGGAGCTGGAGGCAGCAGCTGGGTGATCCTTGGCGGCGCAGGACTAGAGCTGGGGAGGCAAAATGGCAGAGGAAACATCTCCAGAGGGATGTACAGGAGATGATCCACCTCATCAGTTGTCCTCAGGTGGTTATTTAACCTTCCTGGCCCCAAAAATTGGAAGCACAGACCCCTCGAGTGGGTGTTCAACGAGGTGCAGGGAAAGGTTTTGGCCTCTGCTCTGCCCCACGAGGGGTCCCAAGGGGATCCATGGAGATGAGCTCCCATGGAGCTGCCCGAGAGGACACGGGTGGCTTTAAAGGTCATGGAAATTTCCAGGTCTTGCCTGGGAATATTAATTAGGAGGAGAAAGTTGGAGGGAGGTTCAGGGGAAATAATGAGGCAGCAGCAGGAACCATCAAACCCAGCATCCCAGTGGCAAAAACCACCTCACAGAAGGGTTTGGGCTGGAAGGACCTTTGAAGGTCACATCTAGTCCAACCTCCTGCCATGAGCAGGGACGTCTTCAACCAGACCAGCCTGCTCAGAGCCCTGTCCAACCTGACCTTGGAGGCTTCCAGGGAAGAGGTGCCCAGAAAATGCAGCTTCCCTTTGTGCAACCCTCGGGACACAGAATCGTTCCGGTTGGAAACGACCTTGAAGATCACAAAGTCCAACCACTGATGACCACCACAAAAGATCCGTGTGTCCCACCATGTCAAAGCACTGGGTACAACCCAGTGATTCTATTCAAACAGAAACTGGTTCCACCAGGAACACCCACCCCCATCCCCAGGCCACGATCCCGACGCGCTGCCAGGAAAACGAAGGAATCTTGGGGCTAGAGGAGGAAAACCAGGAAGAAGGTGCCATGGGAGGAGACCTACGTTGTAGGAACGTGGGTGCCTCTGCTTCCACTGCACCAGGAGGAGCTGGGCCACCACCAGGGTGGCAATCAGGATGAGGACCATCTCGGCGTGCATGGCCTCGTGGCCGCGGTGCTTGGCGTGCATGCGGGCGTGTTCCACCCTGCGGGACGGGGGCGAGGAGACAGGGAACTCCTGAGGCTGGGAAAGACCTCCAAGATTCTCCAGTCCCACTGCTCCCCCAGCCCTGCCCAGGCCACCCCTGCCCCGTGTCCCTCAGCACCATCTCCAGGGCTTGGAAACCCCCCCAGGGATGGGGACTCCCCCCCTGCCCTGGGCAGCCTGGGCCAGGCCCTGACAACCCTTGCCAGGGAGAAATTGTTCCCCAGATCCAACCTCAACCTCCCCTGGCACAACTTGAGGCCGTTCCCTCTTGTCCTGTCGCTTGTTCCTGGGGAGCAGAGCCCGACCCCCCTGGCTCCAACCTCCTCTCAGCAGCTGCAGAGCCAGCAGGTCTCCCCTCAGCCTCCTTTGCTCCAGGCTGGACACCCCCAGCTCCCTCAGCTGCTCCTCACAAGTTCTCCAGCCCCTTCTCCTCCTGCTCCAGCCCCTTCCCCAGCTCCGGGGCCCTTCCCTGGACACGCTCCAGCCCCTCCATGTCCTTCTTGTCCTGAGGGGCCCAGAACTGCCTGGTGGCAAATTCCTCAGGCACAGGGGAGCTGGGAAGAGCAGCTCCCGAAACGCCAGGAATCATTTTGGTTGGAAAAGAGCTTGTGGATCATCCAGTCCAACCCTTCCCCCAGCCCTGCCCAGGCCACCCCTGCCCCGTGTCCCTCAGCACCATCTCCAGGGCTTGGAAACCCCTCCCTGCCCTGGAAATCCCATTTCCATCAGGAACAAGTGATCTCCAGCCTGATGCTCCACAAGCATTTGGGGTTTCTCTGCAAAACCAAGGTTGAACCAAAACCTGAAGATCTTCACATCTTGGTCTCAGGGTGACAAGATGGGTCAAGTTGGGGGAAAAAAAAATCCAAACTCAACAAATGTGTTCAATTCTGGGACGTTCAATCATCCTTCAGAAATGAAGGCTGAGGGATCAGCCCCACTGGGGCTCCCAGCAGCTGGGAGGGGGTTGGTTGAGGGAGAAGGAGGAACATCCAAGTAGTTTGAAAAAATATATGGATATTCCTTTATAGGACAGTTTGTATCACCCCTCATACCTGAAGTTGATAGAATGATGGAACCATGGGATGGTTTGGTGGGAAGGGACTTTAAAGCCCATCCAGTCCCACCCCTGCACGGGCAGGGACACCTCCCAGCAGCCCAGGCTGCTCCAAGCCCCATCCAACCTGCCCTTCAACACCCCCAGGGATGGGGCAGCCACAGCTTCCCTGGGCAACCTGGGCCAGGCTCTCCCCACCCTCACAGCCCAGAATTTCTCCCTCCCATCTCAGCTCCAGCTCCCTCTGCCAGCTGGAAACCCTTCCCCCTGCTCCCATCCCTCCCTGCCCTTGTCCCAAGCCCCTCCCCAGCTTTCCTGGAGCCCCTTCAGGCCCTGGAAGCTGCTCTCAGCTCTCCCTGGAGCCTTCTCTTCTCCACTTGCTGATGGAAGCTGCCCTGGCCTCTCCCATGGGATCACAGGCAGCTCCTGCTGGAGCTGGAAGCCTTGGATCACCCCCCCAGCCAGACTCACCTCCATCTCTCCTCTGGGGACAAGTGGGAAAGATCCACCTGGGGACAGAAAAAGCACCAAATCCATCAGGTTCCAGGGAGCAGCAAAACCAGCCTCAAGTGGACAACCCCCACTCCAGTGCTTTTCCAGGATATTTTACACCATCCCAGAGGAACTGCTTTAAGTGCCACCTTCACAACCCAACCCTGAGCATGGTGGGAACATCCCCTGGGATCATCCTACCAGGAACAGGGAGTCCAAGACCCCCCCAGGTCTGTGGGGCAGGGGGTGGTGTCTGGAGGTGCCATCACCAGAAGGATTTTCAGGGAGAATCATGGCAATAAATGCAGCTTCAGGCTCTGCTGGCACAGCTGGAGGCTCCTCCCAACATTCCTGAGGTGTCAGTGAGGGGCTAATCCATGGCTAATCCCACTGGGAGTGCTGGGCTGGCCACAGGGGGTTCCAGACCTCCTCCAGCTGGAGGTTGTGGGGACAAGAGGAACAGGATGCAGTGATTCCCAGGCCTGTTCCTGCAGAGCCAGGACTCCCAGGCCTCACCCCGAGTCACATCCCACCGGATCCCCCCGGGATGATCCAGCCTGAGTCCTCCCACCACCAGGCATTTGGGCCTGGAGACCACAAGGACTTTGTCGTGGCACTGATGGCACCAGGGACCTGCAGGCAGGAACAGGCTCCACCTCCCCGAGGCTTCAACCTTTACCCTGGGGACACGGGGACTAATTACGCAGCAACTAATGACACCTCTAATTAGAGCCCGGGGTGAGGAGGCAGGAAGGAAGGGGGTGGCAGGAACCTGCTCAAGGGTGCTGGGCTTCATCCTGCAGGGATTAAGGCCCCCTGGAAGCTCCTCAGGACTGAGATGGAAAATATGGAGCTGTGAAAATCCTGGTGGGAGCTCAGGAGGAGCTGGAGGGGGGGGAGGGATGTGAATGATCCCACACCTGCTCCCATGGGAGCACTGGGATCACCTGGATTCCCTCAGATCTCCTGGTCCTACAGCATCTGTGGCCAAACAGACCCAGCCCTGCTCTCCCTTCAGAAGCTGCACAGGTTTGGGCAACTGCTCTGGTGAACAGGAGAAAAGAACCATGGAATCATGGAATCATGGGATGGTTTGGTGGGAAAGGACCTTAAAGCCCCCCCAGTCCCACCCCTGCATGGGCAGGGACACCTCCCAGCAGCCCAGGCTGCTCCAAGCCCCATCCAACCTGCCCTTCAACACCCCCAGGGATGGGGCAGCCACAGCTTCCCTGGGCAACCTGGGCCAGGCTCTCCCCACCCTCACACCACAGAATTTCTCCCTCTCATCTCAGCTCCAGCTCCCTCTGCCAGCTGGAAACCCTTCCCCCTGCTCCCATCCCTCCCTGCCCTTGTCCCAAGCCCCTCCCCAGCTTTCCTGGAGCCCCTTCAGGCACTGGAAGCTGCTCTCAGCTCTCCCTGGAGCCTTCTCTTCTCCAGGCTCAACACCCCAACTCTCCCAGCCTGGCTCCAGAGCTGCTCCAGCCCTCCCAGCATCTCCGGGGCCTCCTCTGGCCTCTCTCCAACAGCTCCGTGTCCTTCCTGTGCTGGGGACCCCAGAGCTGTTCCCAGCCCTGCAGGGGGGTCTCAGCAGAGCAGAGCAGAGGGGACAATCCCCTCCCTGGCCCTGCTGCTCACGCTGCTGGTGGATTTGGTGGGTCACGTTGAGCTTCTCATCACCCAACACCCCAAGTCCTTCTCCTCAGGGCTGCTCCCCATCCATTCTTGTGCTTGGGATGCCCCACCCAGGTGCAGGCCCTTGCACATGGCCTGGTTGAACTTCATGCATTTGCACAGTCCCACCTCTCCAGCTTGTCCAGGTCCCTCTGGCTGGATCCCTTCCCTGCAGGGTGTCACCTCACCACACAGGCTGGTGTCACCTGCTGAAGGGCCATCAACCCCCCTGTCCATGTCACCAACAAGGATGTCAACCAGCACCAGCTCAAACACGTTCCCGTGTCACCACAAGCAGGATCTGGTCTCCTCTCTTTCCTTCAGCATCTTCTCCAGATCTCCCAGTTCTTCCAGCAAACCAGCTGGAATTCTCCAAATTGTTCCAAGGAGCTAAAGCTTCCTCAGCTCCAGCCCTCCAGGAATGTTGCTGGCATGTCCTGCCCAGCTGGTCTCCAATCCCAGCTGCCACCAGCCCATCCCCGTGGGAACCCACGGCTCAGGCACAATTTTCCCTCAATTATTGGGTCTGAACTTCACTTGATCCCCCAGAGCCCAAAGCTCCTGAAATAACTTCTCTGAGTGGGGCCAGATGGGACATTTGGGCAGGGAGGGAGGGATCTGATCCCTGTTGGACACGGCCTGGACCTTCTGCTGACCCCCTGCTGGGGCTGCTCAAGAATGAGCCAAGAACAACCTGAACAAAGAGTCTGAGAAGGAGACAAGGAAAAAAGAAATAAGGACAAAAAAGCAAGGACAGACCCCAAAATGACCCAAAACCAACCAAAGAAGCACCAAGAAGGAGCCAAGAAAAGAACAACCCCAGCAAACTGGAGCCTCAGGTCTCAAACCCACCAGCAACGTCGATTCCCAGTGCCCAGAAGCTCCTGTTCCCAGACTGGGAATGTCTCAGGGGAACCCCCAGTGTGGGTCCCTTCCCACCCCTCCTCCTGTGCTCCTCAACTTCCCTTCAACCTCCCCCCAAATCCCTCACATCTCCCTTTCTATCCCGAGGAGCAGGATGGGGCAGGACCAGGAGAATCTGAAGATCCCACCAACCTCTGGCAGGTGAAACCAGCTCAGGATCCACTTCCAAGCTCTTCAAGCCACTGTTTGTTTAAAATAAAAACCCAACAGGAATTGTGAAGGAATTCTGATCCCTCCTTCCCTGTCTCCTCCATCACTCCTGAACTTTGGTCAAAAACCCCAACTCCCTCTGGGAGAAGCAGGAATTCCATGAGCAAAGTCTGATCCTCTGGGACGTGGAATCACCTCGTGCCACTCCCAAGTTTCCAGCAGGGGAACAATTCCCCCAAATCCCTGATTCCCACCACCAGGATGGTCCAAAGAATCCCTTCCCTCTCGGAAAACCCTAAAGTTGTGGTCACCTGGAATAGAAAACCCCCCAAACTACCCATTTTTCCAAGCAGGAAGAGGGGAGGATCCCCAGGCAGGTGCTCCAACCACCCTGGTTCCTGTTTAATCTCCTCACGCTCCAGGTTTGGGAAGAGGAGGAAAATGTGAAGATGGAGACAAAAAAAATGCTGCTGATTTTCAATTCCAAGCTCCAGTCCATGGCTCCCATGGCTCCTCTTCCTGTGGTTCCATGGAAAACATCAGCATCCAGGATCCAGACCCTCTCCCAACCTCAGCATCCACTTCCCATCGTTAGGAATGACCTGAAATGATCATCATTTATAATCCCGATTCCCAGAGTGTCCAGAGCCTGGTTGGTCACTCCCACAAGGTCTGGAAGAGGCAGATTCCTCAGGGAAAGGCTGAGAGGATTCTCTGGAATCTCAGTTCCTTCATTTTAATTCCTGGGATGACCCGGGGGGAGGAGAACGGCCCCAACGCTCCAATAACTGGGAATTAAACTGAGGAGTTTCCAGCAGGCAGCAGAATTCCAACACTTCATCCACCTGGATCCACCCAGGGGAAACACTGAACCACTTCTGGATCCCCCCTGGGCAACATCTGGTGGCATTTCCAGCCCAGCCCCTCGGGATCCTCATCCTGCTCCATCCTCTCTGGGTTGAAAACCAGGGATTTCACTCTTGAGGTTCATAAACTTCTGGTTTTCCACGTTTTTTATCCAGGAAAGAGCTTTCCCACTGGCTGCTGGTGCTCAGGAGTCCAACTGTTTCCTTCCTAAATTTCTTCAAATCCCGTTTATCCCAACAGCAGGAACTGGCAGGAATCCCCCAGGATCCTGGTGTTCCTCAAATCCCAGCTGGGAAGGGCCCCTCCCTGGCATAAAATGCCCCCAAACTTTTCAAGTTTAGCTAAAAATATAAACCCCAGGGTGACCAACTTCGGATGTTCAGTGCCTGGAGCTGAGGTGTCACCTCCTGTCTCCCCCACCTTGGGAGGACCTGGAAGTTCTGGGAAGCTCCACAAACTCCTTGCCAGGAAAATGTCCCCAACACAGGAGGAATTTCAAAGCCAAACGACCCATTTTTGAGGAAAAGCACCAAGGCAGGAGGGGACCAACCCCGGGAGCTGCTGGGGGGGGGATGTCACCCCTGTCCCCTGGGCAGCCCCACCTGCTC